AAAACCCACACATTTCCTGCACAATTTTCCTGCCACTGATTAATGATAACCCCTATTATCTGGCAGTGGACATACTGATCACAGAGGCATTTTGCACTGTATATTATGTAGATGCATTGATGTCCATCCATCATTTGGACAGGAATTTCTTTGAGTAGGGTCTATATCACTTAAGGATCACATCTGCAATACAAAGTAATGCTCATTCTAAGCCAGAAGAAGAGCAGGTCTGCAAAAGGTGCAGAGAGCATTTGTTTCTGTGCCCTTAAAAACTTTCTCCAGAGATTCCCTGAGACCTCGGATCAAATTATCAAAGGATTCATTGACAACTGCACTCAGGACCTTCCAAATTCTGAGCATCAGCTTTACTGGAGATCTGTTTTCCCTTTACAAATCATGGAATAGAGTCATTCAGCACCGCCTACCCAAAGAGGATTTACATTCTTGGGTTGACAGAGATCGTTCTCTTAGTGTTTGTGTACATGGGCTACAGCAAAATGGACTGGATTCCATCTGGGACCTGATGTTTCATTGTAAGCAAGCTGAGGTGAGGGCCTGGGACCCAAACAGAATTTTCAGTTTCCTTCAAATTTTTATGAAGTCTTACTTTTTGCAGTAGAAACACAATGATTCCTTTATTCTCCTCGTACCTTACTCCCACTAAAACCACCGAGGTCTTCAGAATCTCTACCCAATCCTCTACCCAAAGGCTTTGTATTAAGGGAAAGGCCAGGTGTATAAATGTTCTGGGCAAGAAAGAGAAAAAAAGCAGCCAACTTGTAGCTCCAAAGTGCACATTCCCCCCAATAATTTATTTGTTCACCAAGCAATATTTCACATACATTCATTTTGTTCAAGGAAATGACCAGTACGACTGTTCGAACAAGTTGCATCATAAACAACGAGTCTATAAAAACAGCATGTACAAACCCCAATGACACTGGAATACCATGTTCAGAAAATGCAGTGCCCATTTCAAGAAATGTCCGTAGAAACCATTGGCAGCCAAACGCGTATGACATGCAGGCCAAGTGCTGCTGCAGACAGAAGGAAAAATAAAATACTGTTTCAGCCAAAGGCTGTCTAAGCAAAAAGCCCCATCCAAACAACAACAACAAAATAACGGCCCCGGCTTGTGTACAATTCCCACAGTTGTAAGATAAATACAACTGAGTTCTTAATGATATTCAGCACGTTTTCATTGTACCACAGATTAATGATGCTGTGATTATTAGCTGAGTGGAGCTGCTTTCTAAAGGGAAATCTGATGCAGACTAGATTTAAGGTGTTTTTTCTTGTTCTTCAAGAAGGGCCAAGTTTTGACAGTTGCAGTGCAGGTCAATACAAGAAGCTCTTGTCGTTTGGTCTGACACTCTGAGTAATGGAAAATCAGTTCTGCCTTCCGGTGTAAACCCTTGGACATTCTGGCTCTGAAAAAGACCTAGGAGTGTTGTGATGCTAAAGCAGAGGATGTTTTTCAGCTTGGATTTGAGCTTGGTATAACAGACAGTAATCCGCATTAACTAGACCTCTGAGCATGTCATGCAACTAAAAGACATGCTATTTCCGATGCGATATTTGCTTGCAATAACCAGCTCTTCTTTTTAGCAATTCATTTCCCCGTAGCTATTTTTCCCTTCTCTGCCAGTATGAGAAATATGCAGCACGCTCTGCCTAGAATGCGTGACATTTTACTTGAATCTCAAATACAAACATTATAACCTCCTCCTGGGAAAGAAGTGATTCAATTACATTTATCAAGCTAGGTGGTGGGAGATCTTTGTTTTAATGCACCACACACTCTCTTGTAGTGCCCTGGATTTCCATAATGCTGTCATACATTAAACAGTTTGCTTGTGAATACCTTGAAAAAGTAGTTGATGATGTTTTGGATTAGCTCCCTTTCGTAGCTGGGAAAGGTCTAGCTTTTAAGATGTAGTGGGGAAAAGAAAGGATTAGTCTGGCCAGAGAGCCTACACCTCTCCCTGGGAGTCTCATTGCAATTAGGCAAGAAATAGTGGATAAATTCATTTACAGAATGTGTTAGTTGACTCCCAGGACTTCCACTTCTTTAAGGTGATAAGAACTTTCCTATCTGACCTCAGCTTGTACATGATGCTCCAGCCATTGGTTCCCTTCAGAAAACAGGAGGAATCAAGCAGGGCATTTTGCAAGACTGAAGAACTTCGTGAAATCTGTTTGCTGACTCTAAGCAGAACAACAAGAAATATTCTGAACTCTACCTTTCCTCCTTCCAGTGCCATGGAAGCCTGGCAAAGGAAAATATTGCTTTACACAATGTGTAATTAATCCTTGGACTTGGCAGAGAAAAAATGAAGAGACATTTTTTTGGATAATGGGAAAACCTTAGAGAATTTGAGACCTGAATAATCTTAGAGAGCATGTGAAAATCCAGAAACAGAATGTGGTAGATCTGAATGGATGTAGATGGTGGGAGATGTGACATGTGGACAGTGGGACGCTCTATGATTCCAGGTGGGACACGTTGATTAATGGATCAATGTGGTCCAGTGGATGTGGCTTAAGGGGGCATGGTGGGGATGGGTTGATGATTAGAATAGATGATCTTAGTGGTCTTTTCCAACCTTAGTGATTCTACAATTCAGTGAAAGTCGTGACACTGTGATCTGACCACCTCCCTCTTTGTTATCCTAACCTCTGCCTCTTTGAAGCACGGTGCTACATAGACCTGCCCACCCAGACATTGACACCAGCATGCTCTATACTCACTGCAGATTCCAATTCTGTTGCTCTGAAATTCAATGACCAAACCAATTTGCTCCAACCTACCTGTACCTCCACAACAACCCCATGCCCAAACCTACAACAAACCTAAGATTGGAAATCTCACAGCTGTAAAGGAGAGATGGCACCATGACCCTTTGGTCTGAGTTACACAGCAGGTATCCATCCAAATGGGGCAGAACCTGGCTGCAGTGGAGATACTGAGTATCACTAGTTTAGCTCCATTTAATGGGTATTTTTTCAGTGTTTCAGACTTCAGGTTTTATCCAAGCGAGTGTCCCACGTATTTGAACCCCATGAGACCAAGAACCTTGGCTTGGAGTCTCATATGACTTTCTTATGAGATTTCCAGCTTTTCTGCTTCTGGTCTTGGCTTGAAATACCATGAGAATATTTATTCATGGTATTTTAGCACTCCTGGTTTCCAATCATTGAAAACCTGAGGAAAAGCTCAAAGGGTGGAGTGGATTTCATATTTTAAATAAAAATGGGACAATGCTACAGATGTGCTACCTGCAAACACACATTTTTGGACATAAATAAGAGCTTGAGTCTAGGGACTGGATTTGAAGTTTTCTCTAATTTTAACCTGTTTGGGACATTCTGTAGCTCTCTGACCCAGCATTTCTATGAGAGAACAAATAAATACTGCCTTGATGCTGGACTCCATACAGAATGAGAGATGAACAAAGAGTGATTCCTCATCAAGATTACCCAGGATTGTCCTTTCAAGGTCCCATCCTGAAAAAGCCAATCATAAGCCTTTTTCCTTTTCAAACTAGTGCATATCCAGCACATCTCAGGAGCTGACGCTGAGACACAAGTGGAGGCTCATGTGTTGTTTCAAGGAAGCTGCATTTTTCAGTTGGCAGGCTCAGGAGGAGGCATGTCAAGAGCTGCCTATTTCTAATACTGTACAGAGAATTCCTCCCACTATTTTTTTCCAGATGCTGAGCAGCCCACTTTATTTATTTATTTGTTTAGATTAGCTGCATTAAAATATACCAGGCTCCCAAATGTTTTTCGCCCAAATTCCCATAGGAAGGGCCTTTCTCATGAGGATGTATGGTCTTAAGTCAGTTACTGGGTTTAGCTCCCACTGCTCTGAAGAAGGATAACATTCCTGACCTCATGGTACGTGGGGTTGGAAGGCTGAGGGTATTTTGCACTGCAGACGTAGCATAATGCTGGGCAAAGGGACAATGGGACATCCAGCTTTTCCAGTGACTGTGGCACAGCAGTACCTTAGGATGTGACTGGGGAAAGCACCTAGGCAAGGAGTTTCTGAGGTTTTAGGTGGTTTTCTGCTAAACTTGGAAGAAGGGAAACAAACAGATGAATAGAAGAGACCTGTTCAAGCCTTGTTTGATGACGTCTTACCTCCTTTTGGATTTTATCAGACATCAAAGTGCAGAAACCTTTCAAACACACCTAGGATGCATGCAGATTTGCATTTCAATCTGGGGATTTTGGGTAGATTGGTTGTATAAAACAGAAAAGTTCTTGTCTCTGGAGCTAGGAGGAGTGCACCCACTTGGATCAAGTTTCTCTTGGCCATACAATTTACTGAAATGCTCAGCACCAAGGGAAACTCAGACCCACTCCAAACAGTGCAAGAGCCAGAGGAGTGTTTGCTGTGCCGTGCTTGGAAGTGACACACTGAGGGCGAACTGGGACTGCCCAGCTGGAGGTGTCACCCCAAGCAGTGGCTGTAGGATCTCCCCAAACAAAGCTGGAGATGAACAAAAGAGGCAAGACATGGTAGGAATGCATTCTCGTCCACAGTCCCTTAACAAAATGTAAGCAGAGATCTGTAAACACGGTCCCAAGACCTGAGCCTCACAACCTCAGCTCTTCTGGATGTTGTATCAATGTTTGTACATATATATATATTAAAAAAAAAAAAAAAAAAAAAGTCACAGAATTGGCTCTAAACTTGGAGCTGTCTGAAAGTATCCACGCTGAAATCGGTATGGGGTCCTCATAGTTGGCTCTTGCTCCCACATCACATCTAAATCTGAGCAGCTGGACTTTAAAACAGGGAAATGCAGTGAAAACAAGGCCTTTAAATCTCAGGGAAACCACGTCTCTTGGAAGAGCAGAGGGTGCTCACCATCCACCGAAGCCACTCACTGTCTTTAAGGGGCTTTCCTCAGGCTACCAGCACTCCAACATCACTCCCCACAAGGCCTGGTACTCTTTTCCAGCATGCTATTCGTTTCATCCCAACTCCTTCAACTGCTATAGCATCTACTTCAATCCCCAACAAAATGGATAATCCCAATAAAATGGGAGCGACCTCACATTGGCAGAGCCTTTAGACATCCTCCCCGTTCTCGCTGAGGGTCATGGTGTGTATTTTAATGGTGGGCACTTTGCAGTTTTCATGGACCGCGTTCCCTGAAGTGCCCGCACAGCAGCACTCCTGGAGGAAACCTTTGCTTTTCACTTTGGCAGTGTTACAGCTGGACTTGTCTTTAGGAATCGCATTTTTTGCCGGCATGCTTTGCACGGCGGAGAATATCTTCCATTCACAGACCCCATCGGATTTGGAAATCTTATAGAAGGTTTCTCCTGAGCCGACGGGGATACGGACCACACCTTTGCCACCTCCCATGCTTTGGGTGTTGGGATGATTGAGGTTGAAGCTTGGGGATTGCTTCTTTGCTGCATGCTTTCTTGGGAGGCACTGCGCTCTCAGGACATTTTGGAACGCTTTCTTAAACTCTTGACTCGAGCATGGATAGATGATGGGGTTGATGCAGCTGTTTAAATATCCAAGCCAAAATGTTATTTTAAAAAGTGTGTCCGGGGGTTTGATTGTAGGAAAGAAAGAACCTAAAATGGAAAATATACAGAGTGTTAAGGCAGAGGCAGTGAGAAATTGCAGGTAACCAAAGAAACTTAAACACTGGAAAAACATAAATAAGATTCTGCTCTGTCTTGGAAAATTTATGACTCAAAGCTTAATTCCTGCAGGAAAGAATCTTTCAGAATGCATGATGCTGTACGATTACATGGATGCTATCAGAGATCAAGGCTCAAGACATCCACCTCATTATATACGCATTGCATTCTCCCACTTTCAGCTTGAGGCAAGAGAACAGATACCAATTGACAAAGGAAAATTTCTCCCTCTAGAACTTCTCATTCAAGATCAGTTAGCCAAATAACAATCATGTTGAGGAGATCATCAAAAGGAGTTTCAAAGGGTAGGAAATCACAGCATTTTGGAAGTCTGAGTAAGTGGATTACTGGGTTGACCAATTAGAAGGTTTCAAAAGGATCAGATGTTGGGTGCTCATTTTCTCTTGCAGCCTTTCAGAAAATAACTTTTCTTGTGGAATGCATCTGAAATTCAGAGAAATTAGAAGAAATTGAACACTGGAGAAATAGTCTGAAATTGGAATGTATAGCAAAGTAATATCCACCTGCAATCTTAGCTCCCAGAGACCATCCAAAGAGCAAGAATTTAGATGGGTCCTTAGCAAGAAGAGTACTGTGGGCCTTTTTATCCTATAGGAAGCAGAATAGCATTGAAAAAAACTAGAGATGGTTTGACAGGGGTTATTCAGCAAATGAGTGACAAAAACATTGGTTGTGCATTTATTGGAACTCACTGACACAACAGTCAACTCCAAGTGGCCATGCCAACTGAAGATGAAATAGCATTGCTGGCAGCGTTTTTAAAAGTAGGCTATGGAATCATTAAGGTTGGAAAAGGCCTCCCAGGTCATCCAGTCCAACTGCTAATGATAATACTGATAACAAAGGATTTAGTTTGATATCTACTGCTTTAAAATACTGTGAATTTTTCCCAATGCCAAACTTTTGATTTTTTTTTTTGTTCAAATAAAATTTAAGCCCCCTTACTGCTTTTAGAAGCAAATTCTTAACTTGCTTGTTAAATGACTTGAATAATTTGCTTATAAGACTATTTGAATAGGCTGTCTGTAAGTGCTTAAGAGAGTTACTGATGGAAAGATGTTACTATAAAGCTACAGAGACACACTTGGGGTGTTAAAGAGTCAATGCTGCTGCAGCAGCACTTAGAAATTAGCTGCTTTTCCCGAATGACACTGGAAACCAGCCATTATAACAGGATCCTCTAGTTCTCTGGTACTTCTTTCTGCTTGGAAATAAAAACAATATTGCCTGAATGTGAGTGAAACAGAAAACCAAACTCCATGCGATGCGGGGGTGGGATAAGTGATAACAGCACTTCTAAGACCAGTCTTGCAAAACGGATCCAGAATGAGAAAAAAGAGAAAAACATTTCCCATATGCTGTCAAGGGAAAGGCTGCTTCTTACTTACCTCCAGTGAAAGGGAAAAAAAAAAAGGCAAGTGATTCTATCATTCTGTTGACAGCAATTAGTTTCAATTGCTTATCATGGGCACAGGGAGCAAAATAATTTCCCAGCAAGTATATCGTGGCATCATAGAATCACAAAATCATAATTGACTTATTTTGGACATCATAGTCAGGTCTCTAATAAATTGCTCTTTTAGCACTTATATATACATGCCTTCCTGCTTTTCCCTCACAAATCAGAACCGTGTGCATTCAGGAAGAGATGCTGTGGAGGATTTTGATGTCAATGCCCTTGACATCCTCTGTAGTTTCCTTGATTTCTGCATCACCTCCTCAGCTTGACAGGGGTTGGTCTGTTTGTTGGACCTCCACTGATTCTGGAAAAGCTTGCAAAGCAACAAGAACCTTCTAATTGAATCCTGAGAGTGCTGAACTTTGGTTTGAATCTTTTCCTTCTGAATCTTTTCTTTGCCAAACAAAGTGACAGTGAGGACAGCAAATGCTTCCAAGCGGCAAAACCCAGCGAGGAATTCTCAGGGTGTTTTTGCCCGTGTGAGAATCTATCAAAACATTGCTTGGACCAGGGGACGCAAACAGTGCAGTGTGATTAATGATGCGCTCGCCCTGCTTCTGCTGAGCACAGTCTCTGCTGCGAAACACAGAGCACTGCCATCTTTCTTCCATCCCCTATGGAAGAAATAAGGGATGGGCAGGGAGAGAGGTGCTGGGCTGCTGCTTGGAGGTATCCTTCCCTGGGATCACTCATCAGACACCAGACATGGGACTCCCTATTCCCCTCTTGCTGCTGCATATGGCTTTTCCACTGTTGCTTTCAATACTGTCATTTTCTATGACCAACAATGTCAAGACAGCAGTTCCTATTTTGAAGTTAAGTGTAAGCAGGTACGTCTGCAATTTAGGATTTTTCTCAGCAAGCATCACTTGCCTCTTATAAAAACAACTAAATGAGCTTCCTGGAGAGCTTTCTGGTTGAAGTCACTGGCAGATGAAGAGTACAAAAGGATTCAGAATGTCCCCATCCTGCTCCATTTTTCCTTTATTTCTCCATTTAGGTGCAGCACACCCACTGCTCTCCCATCTTGTGCTAAGACAAAGGTGAAACAAGCCCAGGTGTAAGGCTGAGTGTAAAAATAGGTAAACAATAACAATTCCTGTTTGCTGCAACTTCTGGTTCGCCTGAAACGGAATGTGAGTGCCTTGCCAAAGTCTGCTAAAAATAGTGAAGAGCCAGTGTCAGAGTCTGCCTCTTGCTCATTTTTTTTTTTTCTGTTCTTTTGAGGGGGGTGGAGATGGAGATCAGCATGCTAATTTATTAACGCAGCCTTTTTTAGTACATTGGTGTAGAGATTTGTTGCCTTGGAACAACGCACTGTCAGAGTACAACAAACGAACTGACAGCGTACAAACTTTGCTATGAGTGGGTCCTATCACATGTTGTCATTAACTCTTTCTTCCCAGGGGTGGATGCAAATTGGGCTTTGGGACAGCAGGTTCTCTCTGCTGGGCATTTGGTCATGCTATCCATGATGTTTTGTAGGTTAAGACCAGCTCTGCCTACACGTTTCATTATATCCAAACACTGTCCTGTAAATGAAGCATTAGTAATGCCTATAGAAGGAAACATAAAATCATAGAATCATTAGCACTGGAGAAGACCTCTAAGATCCCCACGTCCAACCCCAAATCCATCCCACCATCCTCACTGACCAGTGCCACATCTTCACAGTTTTGGAACTGCTCCAGGGATGGTGACCCCACCAGTCCTTGGACAGCCTGTGCCAATGACCACTCATTCCTAATACCCAACCTGAAGCTCCTCAGGTGCAACTGAAGGCCGTCACTTCTCATCTTATTGCTATTACCTGGGAGTAGAGGCTGACTCCCCATCTCACCACAATCTCATTTCAGGGCATCATAGAGAGCAGTAAGTTCTACTCCGAGCCACCTCTTCTCCAGAGTGATCCATCCATGAGCCAGCAGTGTGCCTGGGTGGCCAAGAAGGCCAATGGCATCCTGGCTTGTATCAGAAGTAGTGTGACCAGCAGGAGTAGGGAAGTAATTGTTCCCCTGTACTCAGCTCTGGTGAGGCCGCACCTTGAGTACTGTGTCCAGTTCTGGGCCCCTCACTGCAAGAAAGACATTGAGGCCCTGGAGCGTGTTCAAAGAAGGGCGACAAAGCTGGTGAGGGGTCTGGAGCACAGATCTTATAAGGAGCGGCTGAGGGAGCTGGGATTGTTCAGTCTGGAGAAGAGGAGGCTCAGGGGAGACCTGACTGCTCTCTATAACTACCTGAAGGGAGGTTGTAGCGAGCTGGGGGTCGGCCTCTTCTCTCGTATAACCGGTGATAGGACTAGAGGGAATGGTTTCAAGCTTCGCCAGGGAAGATTCAGGCTGGATATTAGGAAATACTACTTCTCTGAAAGGGTGGTCAGGCACTGGAATGGGCTGCCCAGGGAGGTGGTGGAGTCCCCTTCCCTGGAGGTGTTCAAGGAACGTTTGGATGTTGTGTTGAGGGATATGGTTTAGCGAGAACCATTGGTGATAGGTGGGTAATTGGACTGGATGATCTTATAGGTCTTTTCCAACCTTAGTGATTCTGTAATTCTGTGATCCCCATTCCCTCAACTGCCTCCCATCAGACTTATGCTCCAGACCCTTCACAGCACCACTGCCCTTCTCTGGACAAGCTCCAAAGAAGCATCATCAGTAGAACTGGCAGTCAACAGACCCAATATGTAACAGAGCTTAAAGTAAAATCAAAGTAGAGATAATATGGACTTCCTTCTTATTCATGCCAACAACTTAATCTTCCTCAGCAATATAAGTCAAGTTCAGCATGTCTAAACATTGAGCTACTGAACTACAGTGCAGGGTGGATAAATCATTTCAATTCCCAAATCTCCTGTACAATGAGTTGAATCCTGCTGTACTTTGCAAGGGCATGGACGTGTTGGTATTTGCTTAGTGCCTCTTGAGAAATACAGTGCCCTCTTCAGATGGCCATGGAAAGCAGTGCTCTTCTACTGCAAACATTGGTTATGCCCATAGCTCAGAAACATCCCATCACCTTTTATGCTGTCTACCTGAATACCTGGCAAAACAGGAAAAGCATCACATTGCCCAGGTCCTTGGGGAGCCATTTCACCTGCCATGGAATACTAAGAGTGTGTTCGTTTTTTTTCTGGGAGTGAAATATTCAGTGATGTTGTTGTCATGGTTAATATCAGTGGTAGATGGAACTGGTAGCAAGTAGGAGTAATATTCAAACAGTGCTGCTAAGCCTGATGATAAAGTATTTTGTTCAATGTGCAGAGACATTTAAACAGGCTGTGGCTGGCAATGAAAGCCAGACAAGATTAAAGTAGAAATAAAACTTTTTTTTTATTATTATTTTTTTAAGAATGACTGCTATTAACCATGAGAAAAAATAACCAAGCGGAGTGGTGAGTTCTCTCCTCTTTAAAGGTGTACAACATAAGGCTGCCTGTGTCCTATGCAGCAGT